TTTATGCTAATGTCTCTACAAATTTTTCCCAACTTTCTCGCAACGCGCAGCGCGCAGAGAGAAAAAAAAATCCAGCGTAATGTAGAAAATATTGAATTTTAAACATGCTATATTACGCACATAACGCACATAACCTCACACCACTAATTTCTTCTTTCATTCCTCATTCCAACAAATTCTCATCCCACTCTTCCTGTTTTCTCATTCCTCACTCCACCTGCATTTTGTTCGTGCTCGTCGACCATACAATTCCGAAAGTTTAGAGAATCCATTCGGCCCCCATTCGACGCGTTTGTCTTGGCGGCGTGGTGTGAGAACTTTCAAAGTTGCCGCTCCCCGCTTTGTGCGTGTGCGAAATGCAAAGTCCTTAACATTTTCCTCTTTGGAAAATATTTATTCTAGCCTCATGGTAGCGCCTATAGAACGGGGGAGCTCCCGCAAATTTATGGCATCCAAAAATAATGTTTGCGCCCTCGCGTGCGTGTGCGGCGGCGAGAACACGACCTCTCCGCCATTCCACCCTGGCGGCGGCGGCGGTGTCGGCCTCTCCGCCGCACTCTTACAAAAGCGCGCAGCACACACGCTTTTCCCCAGGCCGTGGCGGGGGAGGCGGCAACGTGAGGGGCACTCACACACACACTCACAGCGATATTCCCCCCGGGGGTGTGGGATTTTTATTTTTTCGGCGTTTCCCCGCACAGTTTTCCACCAATCCAAAGTTTTCCCGGTGCCCGCCTACGCGGGTGCCCGCAAACCTCTTGTCTCTTTTCCCACCGCCGGCATCCGAGTGCTATCTCGCTTGTCTGCGCTCGGCGGTTTTATCGAACGAACCTACGAACTCGTTTCTCTTTGCATCGCACACTGCACACACTACACACCTAGTGTATAAGTGTGTGGGTTCAAACGTGCTTCAAAGCACTTGGTGTGTGCGTACGGTGCGTGCGCGTGCGTACAATCCGCGTGCGTCTGAGTGCGATTTTTAAACGGTGTGCTTAGGACACTGTAAAAAATATGAGAGTAATTTAATACTGTGACCGCTGTTTAAACAAACCCGAAACCGAGTTCGTGAGTCTGACTCTCGCGCGCGCACGAAATTATATGCGCGATAGAGTGTATGTTTACTTTTTTCCGTCCGCGGCGGCGGCAAAACTGCACTAAAAGTGTCATTTTAAACTTTGTGCATCATGCATTCAAAAACAAAAATTTTCACCAACAAAAACAGCGCACTTATCAAAAAGTCTAGATTAAACATTATTCAGCCTGGAGGCGGCGAGAGAATTAAATGCAGGAGGCGTTAGCCGGACCATTATACGCTGGCCTAACTGCCGGCTATTTCTTTAAAATACTGGCGAGGATAATGGCCGAACGACTACGAAATGGCGTCGTTTATGCGCATTTAAGTTTAACTTTTCGGCATTAAACGCAAAACTCATATAAAAAAACGTGTATAAAATACAGGATTAATGATATCCACCCAGATAAATGATGACTCAATCATTTCGGAAATAAAAAATAAGAAAAAGAAAAAAATAATTAATAATCTGAATCCAATATGCAGGCAGAAACCGAAAAAGTCATACATTTATGCAAAAACGAACAATAGATGCGTCGCGCTTTTGTGTTCCGGACGGTTTGAGCTAAAAACCTATGCAACACAAGGGAGTAGCATGGTCTGTCGACCAACCGTCCTAAAATAATGCGCGCGTTCGCTTTTTGAAGCTAGTCGGAAACGTAAAATGCGCTCACCTATTATAATAATAAAATATAAACAATGCGCGTGTCGGTCAAACACACATTGCATCCATAATGCAGTGTTCCCATATAAAACTTGTTTTATCCATGTATAGATATAACATTGAGATGACCTTCAATTGCGTCTGATTCGACAGAAAGTCATACATCAATGTTGAGAGTTAATATGAAGTTGGCATAGGCCTGGAAGGCAATTTCGAGCCGAAATCCTTCAGGTTTCATGCGTTTGATTTGAATATGAATATGAATGAGAGGCGACGCGCGCGCTATAGAAATGCGATTTGTAGGCGATTCGTAGGCGCGTTTTTCATCCGCACACGTACGGAGCGCACGTATCCATCATGCGAACGGGCCGAGTGTATCGTATCAATCAGTGGACGGTTAGTCCCGGTCTGAAACGGCCACTAATCCAGGTGAATCCCGCCGTGACGAGCCCGCCATCGGATTGCGATTTGTATCGGACGTATAGGCCTACGACAACGGTGTGAGCACCACCTGCAAGCAGCCGCACACTAGAACTATCCGCATTCGAAAATGTGAAGGATTTTTCGGACACGACTGAAGCGTAATGCGTGTGGAGCATCGGGGGGCATTCGTATGCAAAGCCTACGAGTGCCATGCTGGTCTTTATAAACCCGAACTATTTAAAATAAATTACACGGAAAATTGCAGTCGCATAAAGCGAAACGAGTGCAATGCACGGCCAAAACTGCGTTGGGGAAACATACAGTGTGTTTCAAATATTTTATTATTTTAAGATTTTAGAAGTTATGACTTGAATAAATATTGTTTGTAAATTTATGAGCTTTGAGTAAGGTGTAAATATATTTAATTGGTATTAGTTAGTTTGGGGTAATATTATAATTCAAACATTTCGTATATTTTGAGAATTACGAATGTGCCGCCTTCCTCCCAGTCATAATTCTCCGTCCACGTTTGCGTGTTGTGCTCGCTAGTAGTGAGCACAAAAGCCGAAAGCCATAACGACTGGGAGGCTGCGACCACTATATCATTGTGTCGAAATCGGTTTTCGGTTTTCAATGCAGAAACAATAAAGAATCGAGCGCGCGAAACAAAAAGGTTGTTACCGTGAAAAAATAATGCAAAAAGACGCAAAACATTGGCAAAAATATTGAAAAACAGTCTGTTATTTAAACCCCACGAAAACGTTTGTATATTTTTATAATATTTGCAAGTAAATTGCAAGAAAATTGTCTTAGAATCTTGAAAAATCAGAAAAAAACGTTTTTAGAAAACAAAATTTTTGAAAAGCACGATTTTGGAATTTATAATACCAAAATGAAGGAGATATTATTACCAAACAGGAGATTACAATATTTTTTATCATCTTTCTTACTAAAATTCACATTTTGCAATTTAAATTTTGAGTTTTTATCAAAATACTGCCAAATAAATTGCAAAAAACATTCTTGGGATTTACACGAATTTAAACTTTAATATTTTCTATCCAAAACTGACTAACCTAAATAATTTCAACCATAAAATTTAAAAAAATCGAAGATTCTAATTTTTTTGACATTTTTCTGAAGAAAAACCTCTTTGCTACTTAAATAATTCAACTTTTGCTCTTTGCGCTGATTGCAAGTCATGCGGAGGAGCAGCTAATGGATCAAATAATACAGCATCGTGCTTTTAATTAACGGATCGACCGACTAGCCAAATCCCTTTCTGCGCCCCATGCAAAGATCGAAGGATCGCCACGTCGCGCCGTTCTAAACAGGGAAAATTCTCATTTAAACTTTATCAGTCTCTCGTTAAGCCCGAATCCTTTGATCGTCGAGTTTTTTCATGCGTCGTCCGGCCCCGACGTTGTGTCATCGTAATTTGCTAAACTTGCCTTTTTGACAAACCATCCCGTCCCACAACACCATTTCGCTATCATTTTAAACCCCGAATAGCCAAGCGGTTTTGAGGTTGAGTTTCAGGCGTATACATTGTAACTCACAACGCGCAGAGAAAAAAAAAACACACACACGGAGAGCAAAAAATGCCTGAAGAGAACCTTGGTAATGAGGCGTTCGGCCTGCGCAGACCGCGTATAAAAACCACGCGTATCCCGACTACCAGCGACGACCAACAAAAGCGGCAATCAACAATGCCGTTTAGCTCCCTGCTCAAAAGACGGACACCATGCGAGGCAATAAAAAACGTAAGCCGCCCTCGTAAAAGCCACAAACTCTAAACCCTGAAGAGACGGACATCTCTCGCTGGCCGTCGCTCAGGCGCTCTTTCTGCAAAACCACGCGTCCCGGGTTTTAGATTAATAATCGCATTAACTTTATAAATCGCGGGCGGTTTTCTTTGGGGCGCACGATTTATGCGCCGCTTTTCACATGTTTTGCATGCGCGGGGACTGTTAAATTATATGCGCGCAAAAAGAAAGAGCGGCGCGCGTGTACTGAGGGCGAGTTATTTTTCAACTCGGACGTGCCGGCAAGGAAAAACCTACGCCTGGGTTAGGACGAGGAAGATAAATGTGAAACGGAGGAAAAACCGCGGAACGTTGTTCTTGCACCGTTTGCATCAACGTCGAGATCCACCTATCTCTTGTTATTTTTTTTTTGTAAATTTTGTTTATCTAACTTGAAAAACGCTTAAAATTATCATTTTAATTTAAATACGCACAAAATTAGGTTAAATACATTCCACTATAACCCACTAGATGGCGTTTTTTTTTTAAATAATTATAATTAATTATAATTCACTTACCTTATGAAAAAGAAGTTGCTTCACAGTTAAGTAATAAGTTGAGCACGTCGCGATATGCATTCGGAACATTCGGTTGGAATTCAAAACACGTGCTAGTTGCAGGGGGGCGCTGGTGTTTGCGGTTCGAGGTTAGGTGTCATGGTGGTGGTCGCGCGCGCACACCGCGAAGATCTGTATGTTTGTGGCACCTTTAAGAACGCATCCGCCGCCCCCCATTTAATGCATCTGGCTACTCTCTAATCGAACGACAGACTGAAAAGTGAAAAATTGCTGCACGCCACCTCGCTCGCGGGCCTCGCGTTGCGAGCGCGCGAGGCGAGACACGAGGTATGAGTGCGAATCAAACGATATAAATAAAAAAAAAATGCACACACGCAAATATAGCCAAACAAATTCACGTGTATACAGGGTGTTACAAATCGACCTACATGTGATAATATTTAATTAATTAATTTTATTGTCATAAATTTAATTTTTGTTTTTAATTGGAATTTTTTTTTGTTTTGGTTATTTTTAAGGAATATGTGTTGGAGAAGGGGATGATTTGTAACTGCCAGTGGATATTTACGAACGCACATGAAAATAATAAAAAACAGAATCGACGAATCGAAATAAAAATAAAGCTTCGAACGGCGAGCGAAAAAAAGGCGCGCCAGCACGAAAAAAAAGAGCGTCGGGAACAAAATAATAAATAAGCAAAAAAAAACTGTTGCATACGTCATACCCACCCTCTTCTCGTGTGCATTCCGCTAGCTCTGTCCATGGCGCTGCGTCGAAGCGAGCGCGCACTCGAAGAGGAGGCGACGCGCTGTTTGTTCGCGGAGTTTTAAAAACGCGCATTCCAAAACAATAATACTCAATCAATGATAGCAATGAGCCAATAACCAAATGGGGACGGTGTTACACGCGCTCGCATGCATGTGCGGGGCAGCCGGAGAGGCGGAGGACAGGAGGGAGGGGAATCGGCGGCGGGCGTCCCGATGTGACAACCCTGTTTACAAATGTAGCGATTGATTCTTCCCAATGTTGTGTTTCGTGCCGGCCGCACTGCCGGTGTCGGTGATCAGACTGTTTGGTCATTGTGACATCTAATGTGTTAAGTGTCTCTTGGTAACATCTCAGAAAGTCACCTTCAAAGTAAATCAATTTCCCGCTTCGAGGATGCAGTGAAACACTGAAAAAAGTGAGTAATATTGAATAAATATCATTATACAATCCCCTAAGACGTGGTAAACACATCCCGGGAGGGTTAATAAGGGTCAGTTGACTTTCCCGACATTGGCACGTGTTGGCACGCGTTCAAACCTGATCTGACGTGCGGTGGAACGTGCGCGGTCGTCTTCAGGGACGTGTTTGACCTGTCTACAATACACCCTTCTAATAATTACCTCTTGTAACCCTTAAAAAACATTTTTTTAAATCTTAATTTATTATTTTGTGTTTTGAGTGATAATATTTGAAAATTTTCAGTTTTTAGTGAATTTTTGGACCGAGAAGGGTGTGGTTACACGAAGCGAGTAGATTGTGTGTAAGTTATGCAAGTGAAAATGGCCGTCGCTCGTGCACGACGGGTTCTCTTCCGTTGCTACGCGCGCCGTTGATGAAAAACGCAAGGGGTGGAGTTTTGCTCCGGCCGCCGCTGGACGCCGCTGCCATGTGCGATGTGCGATGGAAAGCCGCAAAAGTGCGCTCCCTCTGTGTGTGTCAGTGTGAGTGTGTGTGTGTATAAACCTACGCTGGTTTTCTATTTGCATGTGAGAGCGCGGCTGTGCGTCTGCTTGATGGCTCCGAAAAGTTTCACCCCTCTCGCTTGCCATGCACGTTCTTCACCGCTACCCTTGCACAATGCCGCGTGCGCGTGATGGGCGAAAAAGGTTGAAAGACTACACGATAATCAACTTTATTCGCATCACACATAAGGAAAGTTCTTTCATTCAAAAGGGGGTGAAAGTTTTTGCACAGATAAGGAATGATAAGACATGAATATAATAATAGTCTACGATAAATTGTCACTTTATATGAAATATTGTAGATAACCCAACTTACACTTACATTACAAGCTTCATATAAAGATGAAATGCAGTGTTATGCAACACACAATACAGATTAACGTTTAACTTCGTTATTTCGCCAAAGCAACGCCGCTTTTCAGTTAAAACCGTTAACTGTATTTTAAAATGCTCCAACCACAGAGAGTGGCTTAGAAGCTGGCAGTCACGGAAACCGGCAACTAAATGAAGAATAATTGCTCGCCTCGACGTTTTCACATGACTTCACATGACTACTCAGCGGAATGTAACGCTGGCGTTTGTTCGAATATCTTTTGCACTTTGCACGCAAATTGAAGCTCATTAAATTACTGAATTAATTTCTGTAGCAATACTAAGTGCATCTTTTCAAAATCTTCCATTTTCTATCACGTAAAACTTGGTATTATATAAAATGAATAATTCTGACACGGTTACAAATCAGTAAATTACAAATTTGACGAATGTCGAACGCGCGCTTCTGTTTTCATCATTATGTGATACGCCGACGAACATGAAATTTAATAACACTCGCCAATGGACACAAGAGCATTTACGTTGAGCGCACGCACGAACAAAATGGAAGGTAAATTTATTCCATTCTATTTGTTACGTTTGCGCGGCGTTAACGTTTCGTTACGTTTGTTCAGCGCGCAACGCATCAGAAACGCACCAGGCCTCCGACGCAGAGCGGCGGCAACATAATATTCAGAAATGTTTGAGTTTCGATTCGAGTGTGTTTTGAATACTTCACTATATACGCCCGCCCGGGCTGCGTGCCTTTCAAAATATCAAAATTTAATAATATTCGGGAACGTTTATGTGATTTGCGTTTCTCTCTGCGTCGGCCATTGCTCGAAAGCGGCTAAAACTGCAAAAGCTGCGCAAGCAAATACAACTACAACATACAGTATGCTCCTAAATCTCAACATAATTAATAAATTATCATATTCAAGGTTATAAACGTCATTAGGTAAACATAACCTCATTTATTCTTTCAAAAACATAAATTTTGATAAAATATACAAAAATATTGCGTAATTTTAATTTATTTATAATAAATATATTGTTTTAATATATTATAAATAACCATACTGTATGTTTGGTTGCATACGTTGTAGTCGTGGGGCATAGACGGACGGATGAAGAGTAGTGGCAAACGTTGTATAGCGCGAGGCGAAATAGCCGACAGGATGTGTTCGTACGAAGCGCAGCTAGGACGATCGTACGTTTTGTATAAATTTGTCTGGCCCGGCGAGGACCTCATCCTCATCGTGCACGCTGCATGCACTAGGACGTCGGCGAGGACGCAACCCACAATACACGTGTGTGTGTGTGTGCATCACTCGTCGTCTTTCGTTTCATTCGCACGCGCATACTGCAGGCGCACATGTGTATTTAGCGCGCAACGCACACGAGCCTACATCATGCCATGCCAATGCGCGCCGGCAAAGTTCATTTTCCACATATTTCGAACGCAAATACGCCCGCGGGCATTCATCCATATTTATGAATTAATTTTAAAGAATGTCGATAATCTAATTTATAAACTTCGTGTGCGCGCATACCACGCACTAGCTCATGCACGCGTCTGTTGGTATATGTGATATGTGCGTGAAATATGAAATTCTAAAATACGCCGAAATGCCTCGGCAGCGCGAAGCGTCGAGCGGCTGCCCCGCCGTGCGTGTCCTAATTTGCATATATTTAATATGTCTGATGCCCGAACATATTATCTCTGCGTACGTCATTCTCGTCCCGAAATGGGCTCGAAGCGTTGGGATTGTTAGGATTTTAGGCTTGCGGACATACGGAGGATGATCGTATGTGTGTGTACGGAGGGATTTTACTTGGTTGAGAAATGCCTATTATACGGAATATTGATATAATTAAATATTTATCAATCTAATACCTTAGCAGTAAATTAAAAATTTCTACAGTATAGGTACATCCTGTATGTGTTAATATATTGGCGAAACGTGGATTTGCTGCTGTTGTGCTTAGTATTCATTAAAAAATAATTAAAAATGTTTGCGCGCAAAATGTGCGCATGTTCAACATAATTGTCTCCTGCCATGCTATATTATATTTTGTTTCTTCGTTTTATTTTGTGCTGTGTCAGTAATGGCCGTTCTTGCGTCGATAGCTTGACATCGTGTCAAAACAAATTTAGTAATTTTCTCTGACGATGCGCAGAGACGACGTCATAGTGGACACATGCTGTGTTGGCTGCATACATTCAGGCGTCGGGTGTGAGTAAAGTTGTGAAAAATGCGATTGGGTCTCATTTAAAATGCAAACAGTTTTTGGGTACATATTCTGATGGTTGAGTTTGTCTGGTTTCTACAACCTGCAACTATATTGTTTCTAGTTTACGAGTACGTTGTGTATTTTTCGACAAAAGTGACTTTTTTTAATTCAATTTAAATTAATGAAAGTTTTTTGGTTATTTTTTTATTAAATTTGATGTTTAAAATTATTATTTATGTGTCGTTTAGTTTCTCATTGGAAGTAATAAATTTGCCTCTTGTTTTACTGTCGTTTTGGACGTGGACTGTGTTTTTAGTTTAGTTGCAGAGCAAACTTCAGACTCACTCAAGCTGAAACTTGCGCCCAAACCATAGGCCGCCCAAAACTCAATTTTCGTTGCGGCTCTATAAATACCAAAAGCAGTAGGCGGCGGCGGTAAGCGGGCTGCGGATGGCTGCCGCCCTGCCTGCATAACCCAAACAAAAATGTGCAGCGAGCGCGCGTTGCAAAAAATCACTCAACCAGCCCTAAAATTCTATTCAACGCGTAGGCCGCACGCAGTGCACTGACGCTCCGAAAACATTGGAGGTATTTTAGATTTTCGCACTTTTTCCATATGCAATTTTGCACAGGGCGCATTTTTCACCCGAACTAATTTTTTCTAATCTAGTTTCAGACTGACTCTTGCGGCGCTGTTCCCGTTGGATAACATTCAAAGAAAAAAAGAAGCTCGATCTAAACTCGGCGATGCCATTGCAGGGTGTCGGTTGGACGCAGCCTAAAATGACAGAACACAAAGCGACGCCGACGCCCGAGGAACAGCAAAAAAGGGAGCGAAACAGAGCGAAGGCGGGGGCGAAAATAGCGACAAGCGGCACACCGTTATTTGCATAAATTTGCGCTGCGCCCAAAAATAGTACTCCGGAAAAGATAATTAAAAGAGCCGAATGAGTGACACAAGTATCCAGCGTTCGTAGAGTCACTAGACTAGAACGAGATATTTTATGCAGCTAACAAGTTTCGTTGTTGTGTTTTTTGCTTTTGGTGATTGGCATGGCTGAAAAGTTATTTCCTCACTTTTTGTGGGATCTATTCTTGAATCTTTAATACTAGCCACTGACAAAACTAGAAACAAGTTAGAGGATTTTTTTATGATCAAACTTTTTACCACAAAAACTAAAATTGAAAAATAAAAAGAATAAATTTAATAAATTGTATTTGATGTGTTTTTTGTGTATCCTCTACTCAATTTCACTTATTTTATCTGTATTTTTACAAGTGTCTACCACGCCAATTGTTCCAACCCTTTTTTTCGTTTGGTCACCACCCCGTTTCATTTTCAGAGCGTCATACGCTGAAAAAGAAAACGCGCATTTGGAATTCAGCTTGAAAAACACCCCAAATGGTTTGAAATGCGTTGCGGTAGGATGAGACGCATGTGAGAGGGGAAGTAAGAAAAAGGGGTGTGAGGACACCCCTTCCTTGAACAGTTTCACCGCTCGTTTCAACTCTACCAAACCAGCAAGCTTACAGCGAGGGTTTGCATCCCTGCTATGGTAGTAGTATTGATTTTTCAGTTTTTAGACTTTCCTCGTCTATTGCAACGTAGATGGCGCTAGAATTAAATTAAACACTGTGTAAAAAATAACAAAAATAATAAATACACACCTGTTGTTAATAATAAAAGTTTAGAATGTGTATAAACAAAAATCTGTTTTAATAAAATGTGATTTTATATTTTAATGCAAATCTAATGTAAATTTTAAAAACTGTTAATGTTTTCTTCTTAATTCTTGCTCCTAAAACATTTTTAAATCAAAATTCTGATAAATTAAGATTAAAAATTGATTGTAAACAATTGTCTGCAACAAAATCAAGTCTGCACCTTTAAATTAAAAATAAAAACCAAAACTTTAAATAATATTCAAATGTAATTTACTAAAACACGCATGAAAAGGCAGTTTGAAGCAGCTATACATATTTAAGTAAACCAAGTGACACTTAAGTATGATATACAAAGGAAATAAAAGCAATCGAAACACAGAAAAGGACACTTGAATGGCGCCTCACAATCACACCGAGTGCACGGCATGTTTGCACGATGGAGTGACCAAATCCTATTATGCGGATAAAAGTGTAATAGTCTTCATTACGCCGATAAGGACGATTAGAGCGGCGGGCTTTGGGTCGGGCGTCGTTCTATCATTAACAAACTGAAAACCTCAACTATGTCGTTACTTAGCGCAAGAGCGCTACGGCAAAACGATTCCGACGACGAAGCGAACCAAGCCAACCGTTGGGTCCTTTATCTACGTAATCTACATACATACGCGTATGCATGTGCGCGTATTTGCCATGCATGTCGACGATGACGATGACGCGCGACGCGACATTCTAAGTCAGAGCGAATGCGCTGTGCGCGCACGAAAAGGACGTTTTGCTCGCACCAGCTTCAGGTCTTTACACACCCGTTAACATTGGCGCACCAGCGAATGTCCTCAAAAGCTCCGACTCAGCATCCATCGGAGGAGAACGCTATTGCACAATCGTGGAAACTCGGAAATTCAAAACCTGTAATAAAGTGTTTTCGAAATTTATACAAAAAACATCAAAACAAACCTAACCTTAAAAATATACATCACATAACCTTAAAAATTTAACCTAAAATATAAAATAAACATTTTTGATTAAATTTTATGTTTGAGGTTATTTTTAAGTGAAAATGAAGATTTTTGACAACACCTTGTAGACTAATGCGGTTTTCGTAGAACCTTGGAGAAGAATGGTCCACGGTCGGAACACCGCACCGGCGAGAACGGTCATAGTGGCCCATAGTGATGTTCATAGTCTCATGGAACAAGAGCATAATGGAAGGAACGGACGACAGTTCCACCTGATGACCGCTCTCGCGTTCGCTTGTTCCACCCGACCACGGAAGCGCGCACGGCGCATTGATATTGTGTGACGACGATGGTTGCGTCGATTAAACAAAAGACAAATGTACGATTCCATTGTATAAAAACCCAGCCGCGCTTTGCGCACAATGTTATAACTGCAAATTACATAATTGTATTGCAATTTCTATTTCTAAACGCGACGATTTACCAACTACGCAGTGCAATGCTTAGGTATGCAACCAAATTTACATCTAAAAATATAAAAGCATTTAAATCTCAACTTTATTTTCTATTGGGTTGAGAACGGGTTAAAAACGAAAGAAAAGTTCAAAAAGTTCAAGCTCTGAAACCGGAACCGCGACGTGAAACTCGCTTCTGTTGAGTTTGTCTTTATTTAGCTAGCTGGGTCATCTCTTTGTGTGTGTGTGTGTGCTGTGTCTTGCATCCCGTGGGAAATCAAGACGGGATTGCATTCTCAGCTTCTCTTGCTTCGTTTGTTCTTCTTGGTGTGCGCGCCGCGCAACGTCGTAACGCGAATGTAACGCAACTGCGCGGCGCGGTTGAAGCTCGGAGCTTGAGACTCGTTTATTTTAAACTTGATCTTAATTAAAACACACCTACGAGCGGCGTTATGTGTGCGGCGGTAGGTGCGAACGCTGGCGAAAGGTACGACCACGCAAGACCATGAAATATGAACGAATTATTCATATTTATTATTATAATCTAGTTCTCGCCGCTTAAGGTGTGCGAATATTGTTTCGGGGCTTCATAATTTTCCTATTTTGCAAGATATTAAATTTCCTGTTTTGGAGAAATACATTTATTGTCAGATTTATCAAGAAAAACAAGTTTTTTTTAATAGAAATTTTAAAAATATTGCAAAATTGAGGATGGATCAGTAGAGTTAGGTTAGATTAAGTTGAGGTTATGTCTACCTCTTTATAAAATCAGTTTTTAATAGCAAAATACGCATTTTTCGGTAAAATTTCAATAAAAACCAAAACATTTGAAAGTTTTTTTTCGTATTTTTTTGTTTTTCTGAAGCAAAATATGGTAAAACTTAATTTCTCTAGATTCAACCTCAATTAATAAAACAATAACAAAATTTAACCTCACTTAATTGCAATATTTCAACCACTTAACCTCAAATTTATAACACAAACATGAATTTAACAAAAAAAAATGTGTCCAGTGGAGTATTTGAAACTTTCCTATGAAAAATAACGCCAAAAGTTAGATTTGACACAATAATTAATTCAAAAAATACATGAATTTAAATAAATGCATAGTGTAACAACACAATTCTTGTTTTAATTGGCGTTTTAATTATTAAAATTGTTACTGCTGCGTCATTTTAAAACTGTCGCCAGTGCACCAATGGCGTTGGTTTGAAAATTGCAGCGTTTTATATCTTGCACGTTGCACACTTTCGGCCGAAACATGCGCGTAGGTGGCGCGGTTCACCGCGGTCAAGAGCGACAATTTTACATTTATGACCAGCCAGCGCACCCCGCTCGTCTCCGTAGGTGTTGCGCGCAGCGAAACGTTTACGCTCAGGAATGACAATAATGTCATGGGGTTGCGCACAAACACCCCCGCTGTTTGTATACGGTTTAATTTAATCTTGTAGTAAAAGTTGTTCAGTTGCACAACTCGTCGACGCCGCTGCAAGCGCCTGAGAATCGAGTTTCTATTTGTTGTTAAAAGACTACGAATAAATGAACAGCGCTGTGAACTTCACGACAATTTGAAAATGCAATTGTTAAAGTTCTACACTCTGCTATTGACATCCAATGACTTTTTACTTAAAATAATTTATTTTTTTGTTTTGGATAAAAATCTATCAGTTGATTTTGTTTTGGGGAATAAATACAGCACGCTTGACCAACAGTTAAGTACAAGTTACAAGAACAACATAGCTGGGGATCTGCGCAGCAGCAACATTAGTAACATCAACAACAACAAGAACAAACAACGATAAATAATAAATGCGAGAGCTTGGCGTATCCCGAACAGCTGCGTCTGCCTTGGCGTCCGCGAGACGCGCAAGCGATTGAATAATTATTGTTGGTTATTAGTTTCGTTAAAGACAATAAACTATCCCGGCTGCGGTGCAGAGGCGAGCAATAGAGCGTGAACATAATGCATAACTTGCGTCGAATAACTACACATTCAAATTCGCCAACAACCAACAACCAACAACCAGAGAGGGGCTTAGCGTCTGTGTGCTCGCATTTAGGTTTGAGTCTTCAGGTTTAGGAGGCAAATACTAGCCTCTGAAGTTTCATCTGCTTGAATTCAAGAGTAGAATAACGTTATCTACATTTATAGCCTACAGGGGGGTGAAGGGATGAAACAACCCCTTTGGTGATTGGTAGATAAAACCATTTCGATATAAACTTAATAATTTATAATTTAATTTTTATATTTTAACCTCAAATCTAACCTAAAACACTTTTTAATAGAAAAGTGAGGTTATAAAAAGATTCGCCATTAATTAGTTCTAAAAACACGCAAAAAAAAACAAAATGAAGCGAATTAGTTCTTATATTAATCGTCTGTGACTAACAACAGTTTGCCAAACTCGTAATTACTATAATAGTAATAGTTGCGTTTCGCGCCGAGCAGAAACTGCGGTCTTTACTTCGTTCTTGTTCTTTGCCCAACGGACCCAGCATAAAAACACTATACCCTCTTTTTACTACCAACATCACGTCCCAGTGTGTTTGCGTATGCATGCAAGTCGAAAATCGTAATTTCTTGGCGTCCTCTCGACGATGTGTAATTAAGCACGCCTTGGAGTCGTACTCCTTTACTCCCCCGAACAAAACAGCTGCAAAGTTACATTTCTCTTTGTCACCCATATAGAAATGGATTATTTGGTAGAGAAAGACGCAAGTATTGTGGCAACATGGACGGCTCCCAGCTAGATGAGGAAGAGGAGAATGCGAATTACGAAATGCGAATGTCTGAAAGGGGGTCCACGAGGGTCATTTCTAAGGCTTTAGCCATGCTCGGCAATAAGAAGCGCCAGCGATGGTCGTCGCTTTGTGTCCACCCCTCGCATTCACCACCCCCTAACGTAATGTTCATTCCCAGTTTCTAGCAACTTCCAAAAACCGATCCCCTTTATTACACTCCAGTAAATTACATTTCTTAAAACATTGAAATACATTTTTTGAGGTTAGAAAATTTAAATTTTTATTAATTTTTGATTTTACGCTTGTTTTGTTGAAAATAATAATTTATTCTTGTGTTTGGAGGAACGGGAGGTAGGGGTTTACGTCTTTTATGAGATTTTCTCATCGTCGTGCTCATCT